CAGTCTCCTCTTGTAGAATATAATTTTTGTAGTATCCCAACCTAGCATCATCTAAACATGCAAGGGAAAAAAATACTTTAACCGGGTGTGTGTTCTTCACTTCAATTAAACTCACACAGTTGGATACTTACTGTTGCCAAAATAGTAATATAATTTATACATTATAGTCTACACAGTAAAACTACACTAAAAGTCATTTAACAATATTTATAACACCATAAAATACAGTGTTAAAATATATGAACTGCAATATGTACCAAAATTATAAAATTTGTTTCTCATCATCAGTGATTAAAACCAGGATCATTGCTCTAGCCTCAATACTCACAACCCTGGTGACAGATTAGAATTCAAATCTTAATGATCAATTTACAATTAACAAGATAGAAGTGAAACAAATTAAACCAACCATTATATATAACGAGACCCCATGGACTCCCATTGTTCCTCTTAATTACAAAACGCAAATCACAAATACACAATGGACAGTGTTAGACATCAATCCACAAGCCTAGCAACCCAGAAAGTGACAATGATGAAAAAGAAAGAAGCAAAACCCTATAGACCCTAGTTCTGTGCTCTATCCTGTTCTTTTCACTGTGCAAGTGGTGAGAGGTTAAAACCCAGCACACACTTGATCTCTACTCTGCTGCTGGCAGAGGCTCCCTCCTAGCCAGCCTCTATCTTTTCAAGCTCTTCCCAGCCAGGTGTTAGCACTGCAAACCGCACTGCAACATTTCACTGCTGATTCATCTAAGTGCGTGGGGAGATGGAATGCTTCCTTCACTTTGATAAAGAAAAATCACAGTTGTACCAAAGATATTTAAATATCTCCATTTACCTCCCTCAAAAGCAACCCCATAACTGTAATAAGCTCTCAGAGTACTGGGGAGTACAGAAGGAAGGCTAGCGAAAGTTTATGTGAGCTTCAACTAAAATCAGCCAGAATGTCTGCCTGGTGCCAATTAAAAGCAAAAGGAAATTAATTCTCTTGCCTGATGGTCAAAAACAAGCTATATAAAATGCACAGAGTTGGCAGTTCATTTTTAGTTTTAAAATGGGACATGTCATTCACAAACCCTGGGGTTACAGACACCACTACATGCAGTATGGAATACACACAGTGTGCAAAGCACTGTGCTAAATCACTATGGAGGCTTCCAGAGAACAGAAGCAGTCATCACTGCCATAATGCAACTTACGGTCTACTTGGGGAGAAAACACATACAACAGACACACACACGGAGGTACCATTTCAAAACATTTTCACAGAGCAGCCTAGCACAAGTCTGGGGCAGAAAGTAAGAGTGTATGGGCATAGAGAGCCCAGATTGTCAGCTTTCCTCGTGATTCTGCATGGGCTCTAATCAAATGACTAGATCTGTGAGTAAAAAGCTTATTTTAAGTGGTAGGAATCCATTTGTTTAGTTTGACATTTTGAATAACAAGACTCTCAGAGAAATGTTGCTAGTAAAGAAAGGAGGCAAAAAATGTTAATTATTGATTAATACAAAATAAATACGCTTACTTTCAGAAAAATTTTTACTATAGTACTTTGAGGAAAATCTGGACCAAAATTACCATATGAATTTTTTTGACCATATGGATTTAATAATTATTTTGGAAGCCGGGCTCGGTGGCTCAGCCTGTAATCCCGCGCCTTTGGGAGGCCGAGGTGAG